ATCCAAGTGCTGTGAAAATGAGTGCAAACTCTTGGCTGATCAAAGTCTAGCAGAAGGTCTTCAAGGAAACAACATTTTCATTAGCGTGGAATCCCATAATTTACCTCTTGCAGGGATTAAAATTCACTGTTGGTGTTTTAAAGGACTCAAGTCACTTAAAAATGGTGGGAAAAGGAACCAATTCTTTGGTTGCTGGAAAAAAAAAAAAGAATATCTACTGCAGGTTTTTTTTGTCTGGCTGTTTGGGCAGCGAACAGCGAAGATGTCCGGCTGTTTTGTAGGAAGGCATGTGCATTTTTGTGTCAACATGGGAGGGCAGCGCATGCTCCCCCTGAGGCGCGCCCAGGGATCTTGGCATCTGAGGAGGAGATTTGTGTTTGTGGAGAACCTGCGACAAAGGAGCCATGTCCCATCTCTAGCAGAGCATCACTGACACCAGAGCTGGAGAGGACAGGAGGAGGAGGAGGAGGGGGGGTCTCCAAGCCCCTTGCAGCAGTGACACATATGAACATGAAGGGCACGAGTGAGAGGAAGACCCCCCCCACCACCACATCGTGCTCACCTTCGGGTTGGGCAGAGCAGGTCCTTGCAGCTCTCCCTCGTAAGGCTTTACCCGATCCCATGCCAAGTCCCCCAGGGTTTCCTGGGAAGGTCATTTCCCACCCAGCCCAATGCTGCCAACCGCTCAGCCTGTGCCAGTGCCAAGGGATTCCTGTGCGGTCTGTGATGGGATGCAGACAGCCCCTCCCGCTGGTGCTGCAGCAGGACGTGTAATACCCTAAAACCTCTTAGCGCGCTAAGCCCTGGGATCCCTAAGTGCTGAGGAAGCAGAGGAGAAAATCAGAAACAGCAGCTTAACGGGGAGTGGGTGCCAGCACGGGGGTCTCAGCTGCTCCCCACTGCGAGGGCCCCTGCTCCCCAGCACAGAGCAGCCCAGCTGGGGAGAGCTCTCCTGGCGAGCCCTGCAGAAGTCAGGCCAGACCCCCAAATCCCTGCAGCAAACGGCACGTTCTTTGGCAGTTGCGTGCTCCCCAAAACCTCTGGTTTCCCACCCAAATTGCTGGTGGTGGGCCCATTGCAGTCTCAGCACTCCCAGCTGCTGTTTGGGAGCTGCAACAGCCCGCTGCCTCTCTGCTGCTTTGCAAAGTGCTTTTGCTTCAGATTTGCCCTGTGGGTAAGGGATTTCCCTCCACAGGCACTAATCTGTTTTACCTCCTTCCAGCTCCTAATTCCCCCCAGACCTGCAGGCTCAGGTCAGCACCAGACTTAGCCAGGACCAGCACGGCAATTAGTCCATCTGTGCTTCTCTTAGCCATAGAAATAAAGCTAATTAGGAAAGGAAAAGGCAAGAAAGACCTTTCTGTGTGCCTGGCGCTGACTCAGAGCGGCTGGGAGGGGACAGGGCTCGAGTAAGAAGCCCGGGAAGGGGCAGCCCCCCCTGCCCGAGGAGCTGCCCCGGCTCTGCCCCAGCGCTGCAGCACAGCAGCTGTTTTGCCCACCCCTGGACCGGCGTTAGGCGTGAGGGCTGTGCCCCCAGCACCTCTGGGGCCACAGCGAGGACGCAGGAAGAGGGGAGATGCCCTCGGGAGCCCGGCGGGTAGGTGGAATGCGCTTCCAGGGGCGATGGAGGAGAGCCAAGAAAGCTTCGACCTCGTTAGCGGGACAAACCTGCTGCTGGTGAGAGCCCGCCAGGCTCGCCTGGATGGCTGCAGACTTCTGTAAGTGCTTGAGCCATAGGGTGTGGAGGTGGAAGGGGGTGATGCAGCTCCCCGCAGCAAGGCGATGGCTGGTGCTCTGCCGGGCTTTGCCACAGAGCTCAGCCCAGAGCGGTGGTGCTGGGGCCGTCCTGGTGCTTACTGGGCTCTTGCTGGAGCCTTCAGTGCTTGTGCTCCACAGCCCCAGGGACACCCTGGCCTTCGCTTGCTGATGGATTTCATCCTGCTGTTGCCAGCCTGGCCCCATGTTTCACCCTCAACATTGCCCTCCCGGTCCTTGCCATCGGTACCTGTTAACGTGGGCAACAGATATGTTTCCTCTTTAAATAATAACAACAATCATAACCCCTGATTTTTATGTATTAATTTAATCAGCACTGCCATACAAAGGAGAACAAGATTATTACACTTACAGTGTTAGCGATGGCATATTGCTTGGTCCTTTTTAATATTTCTTTACGAAGGCGGCACTTCTAGGGACCCCTGTAATACAGCAACGGCAGAGCGGGCTCAGGTTATTAACACAGATTCT